GGGTGATCAATTGCTATGATTGTAAGAATAAGTAACTGAAAAACTACCACTGAAAAATAATATGCCGACGCCTATGTCGAGGCGGGAATTCCTTCTCTGTGCTGCTCCAATTGGTATTGGAAATACTATATAAGCTGTTAGCTGATGAGACACTACGAAAGAAGAAGATATAGGCATGTATGCTATGCTCCTTGTTCAATGATAATATGTTTTTAGAGACTTGAACCCAAAAGAAAGGGTATGAGTTGAAACAAAATGTTTTTATTATTTTCAGTGACGTTTCGACTACTTATTGACTTTCAGTGACTCATTCACTGTTTAAGCTACATAAAACCCCAAAAAGCCTGCACTTCTCACTCAGATGAATATCTGCAAGAACTATCATTTGAGTAAACATACTGACTCGATTATGGCTTAACATACAATCCAGCACCAATTTTCATCTACTTTCTGTTTGCATAATTGCAAGTTGCTTCATCGGACCAGAACCTGTCATTGGCATCGCTTTGGGCTTTGCCAAACAAACATTGAACACCTGGATGACAAGAAGATTTGAAGACATCTGGCAGAATCTTCCAGAATTGGCTGACTCCAAGGCGTTCATTCACGCTTCCAAATTCGAAACCAAACAGTTGTTTGACTACAGTGAACCACAATGAACCCTTGCGAATTGCGGTAGAAGGACGAATACCTAACCTAACCTAAGCTAACGCATAATTCATTGGGAAATCACGATACAGAGTTTTTCAACGCGTATTGTTATCCATTCATTCATCCAATAAATGCGTCAACAATCTCAATTCTCAATTTTGATATTAATAAAGTTGAAATGGTAGTTTTTCATTTGAAGCTCCAAAGTTGACGTGTCTTGCGCAAGCCAGAGTATCCGTTTCAAAACGTATTTTCAAATATTGGTCCTATTGTTCCACGAGGTACGACTTTTTTGGAAATGTCTCCTTCTTGAAATTTTTTTCACATTTAAAAGGTGTTAAAGAGTTTTTGGGATATTTGCAAAAAACTAAACTTGATTATCTTCAGTCAAGTGTTTATAACTATTGCAATTTTTGCAAGTGGCACTTGCATTTTTCCAAAAATTATCTACACGCTCTTCAGAATCAAATGACTCCCCGTTCATATTTTTCGGAGGTGAAGGGAAAAGTTTGAATTGAAAGAAACTAGAAACTAGACTATGGGGAGTACGCTGGTTCAAGTTTTTTCATGTTATAAAATGACTGTCTTGGTATTTTGCCTTAGAAATCTGTTCAGACTCTCTACTTCGGCAATTTATTTTGTTTTGAATTAGAATTTGATCATTGAATATTGTGTATGTTCATACACTTGTGATGCACTGTTTGGAACCTTTGGTTCAGTAATGAATATTACTGGAGTTTTTTCCCAATACCAAACCGTCATTTCAACACGTCGACACGTGTTTCGATCACCAAGTGTAAACTACACCAAGTGTAAACTAAATCTACATTCAATGTTGTCCTTATTTACTAGTCAGGTAAATATGATATCAAGCTATATAGTAAACTATCAGGTATTGATCAACGATCGTTATTCGTTACGGTGGTTGATCAATTCCATTCATGACCAATACCATTCATTGAATAAAGTCTATGAAATAGTTTGTTGCAAAACATGATGGGCAACTACTGATTTTTCTGGTCTTCCATATTTTAGGTGTGTTACATAATTTAGGTGTGCTACATACTTTAAAGGTGGTATAAAAAATTTAATACTGGCATACTTCCATCAAAAAAATTCACGTCTTAGAAAATGTCTACGGCGGCAGTAGACGAAAAGTCAGGCATAAAAACCTGCTGGAAAACACGGAAAATAGCCTTCATACAGTTATCTC